TAATTCCAAACTTACAGAAAAGTCCCAAGAATAGTACAAAAGCTCCCATATACCCTTTAGCAGATTCACCCACTGTTAATATTTTCTTTGTCAGAATATGTCATCTACATTTACTCTATTAGAATACGTAATGTTGTTTTGCATATTTTAAACATATTAGTGCATGCACTCTACAATCTTTTCCACACATTATTATGTTTGTGAGATTCATCCATATTGATACATGTAGATCTAGTTCATATTTTTTCTGCTGCACAATATTCTCAAGTGAATATATTACAGTCTGTTCTACTGATGGATATTCAGATTATTTCCAAATTTTTGCTATTTCAGACATTGCTGTTATGAATTTAAACTAGTTAAACTTCAGCAAAACATGGAGAATTTTCATAGAAAAGAAGGCATGGTCATGTATCAACCATTATTTAGAAAAAGTAGCAATTGTAAAGATAATGTAAAGATTATCAAACTTAAGATTGTAAAAGCAAAATATTGGTGGTGTTTAGGAAATTGACATTTTTGTGCCACATTAAAATTTATAGCAGTCCATTTCTCAAAACTAAATATAGTGGAAGTGGGTATAACTGCATTTTGGATTTGCAAAATAATTAGGCTTTATTCTTGTGATTATATTTATCTTTACTACTCGTTTTTTCTCCATTATTTTGGGTCCTATTATTATGAATGCACCAGTTCAGTCTTCTATAAATTGGAGCAGATAATGACTTTCCATTGATATCATTCAAAACACTTATACACTTTTGTTTTGCTGATGATTTATACACTTTTGTTTTGCCCTCATTATGAGAAAAAGTTGCGGTCATCTCTCTTTATTTATGAGCTGTCTGTACCCACAAGTGGTTTTATAGGTACCCAAATGTCTTTATTATCTGAAAAGTGTTTGTAAAGGTATATCCTACTTCAGTTTTACAAAACAAATTTTAGCAAGCAAATTACATATTATACATGCATGGCCTTCTTTAATTCTCCCAACTATTCTTAAGTAATTCTCAGAAAAAATCCCAGGTGAGAAAACTAGAACTTAAAAAGGCTAAGAAACAGTTCATATTACTAGAAAATAGAGCAAAGATTCAAACCCAGGACTTAGGAACCCGAGCCAAAGTCCATGTTCCTAACCTTTGATTCAAACCAAAGATTCAAACCCAGGACTTAGGAACCCTAACCTTTGATTCAAACCAAAGATTCAAACCCAGGACTTAGGAACCCTAACCAAAGTCCATGTTCCTGCACTTTGCTATATCACTGTAAACTAACAATAATGTTCATCTGTTGAGCACTTTGATGGCAAGGACTAATCCGACTACTTTATTTTTATACATTATCCCCATTTTACAGGTGAAGAAACCAAACTTTAGAAAAGTTAAATGATTTTAAGATTACAGCAAGTAAGCAGCTAGACTGAGATTCAAACCAGGTCTGTCTCACTTCAAAGTCCCCATTTGCCATGCCAATATCTTCTAGGCACCTTATATGTACAAGAAACAATTCTGAGAATGTGTTTTGAGGTGTAGTGGCTAATTTAACTGCCCAGGAATTTTTCAGGATTTCCATCAGTAAATCCACTTGGTCTGTAAATCCATAGCAGTTAGAATAGCTTCCAGGAGTTGTATAAAAAGCAATCAGAAGATAAATGCCCATTTAAAAAATTCATAATAAATGTTTCTTTAAAATCTTTAAAACAGTCATTTCTGTTTTAAAAGAAATTCTGTTTTTTCTTGTTTGTTGAAGCCAATATTTGAGACAGAAAAACTGCATTCGAGTAAAGTATTTATTCGAGAAATTGATTTATATTTGGTAATCTGGGGACAACTGGATGATCTTTTTAAAACAGGACCATTCCCTTTCTCAAAATTCTTCAGCTGGGTTTAAGCAAAGGAGTGGAGATTAATCACCCAGACAGGATATTGTCCTGCTCATAATCTAGAAATTCGATTTATTTATAATATTTGAGCAGGAGTTGGCAACCTGCCACTTGTTTTTATATAGCCCATGAGCTAAGAATGGATTTTATAATTTGAAGTGACTTTTCAAAATCAAAAGAAAAATAATATTTTGTGATTTGAAAATATATGAAATTCAAGTTTCGGTATCCATAAAACATTTCATTGGAACACAGTCACACTCATTTATTTACATATTTTCTCTGGCTACTTTTGTGCTACAATAGCAAAGTTGAGTTATGATAGAGATCATATGGCCTTCAAAGCCTAAAATATTTACTATCTGGCCTAGTTTGCTGACCCTTGCACTAGAGGGAGTGGTTAAGAGTGCAGACTTTGGAGTCAGATGGAATTGGATTAAAGACTCAGTTCCTTCACCTGTAAAATGTTGTGGCCATTTAATGAGAAGAGGTAAACTCAGAAGAGTGACTTAAGTAATTGTTACCTTTAATTAAGGAGAAATAAGGTTAGGTAGAGATTTCTAAGGTTCTTTTACTTGACAGTATAATAACAGAAAATATAAGATTGTAAGAAAAGTGAAACTGTATACAATTTGTAACCACAATTACCTTAGGCAATCTTTTCTCAATATTTCCACATATGCCACTTATTACAGGTAAGGATTCTTGGTTATAAATAACAGCAATCCCAATTCAACCTAGCTTAAACAATAAAGGGAATGGTTTATCTCTCAAAACTGAAAAATACAGATGTAAATCATGTTTCAAATTCCATTGTGCTGGATTCTCTGCCTTCTTCCCTGTGTTGGTGTTGGTTCTGTCCTCATGCTGGCTTACAGGGACATGGCTGCAGCAGTTCCAGACTTCCCATCTATACAGCACATGGACATCTCCAACCAGTGAACCAGAGACCTGAGCTGCACTCTGATTGGGCCAGCCTCAGGTCTCACGCCTGTCCCTGAACCAGTTACAGTGGTGAGGGGCATGGGACTCAATTCCATCCCAGCTGCACCAAGGGAAGGCGGGTTGGATGCTGAGGGAAACCCAACATGTTCACTATAAAGTTATTTGTAAGATATTACCTATAACATGTTTATAGAGAAAACAAGCACATAGTTCGTGAGTTGTTCCATTGCTTACCTCTCTTTGAAACTAGTACTGCCCGTGTTTTCATCAAAACAACACATATGCCAAAAAAGTCCAACAAGGGTGGTTTGGTTCCTGCCTTAAAGATCCAAAGTCCTAGGGCTGTGGTCGTGACATTTGGGTCCCACCTTCTTGGTTCTGACCTAGCAACACTGAGATCAGCATTTGGGGAACTGATGAGTCTGAGCTGAGGTTGTTAGCTGCACATGACTTTCTAGCATTATGAGTATTGGTTCTTTTTGAGGGATTCTTGAATTATCAGTACAAGTGGAATAGTAGAAAATTTCAAATATGTATCTTCTTATGAGAAAGCTTTATGCTTTTCAGCTCGAAGTAGTAGCTGTCATTTATAAAGTTGATTGATAAGTTTATGTATAAGGAACCCTACATAATATGATTTGGGCTAGTCATAGTGTGTTGTAGCAGAGTTCAGAAATATAATGACCTCTTCATTACCCATAATTGGATTCTCTTTGTATAAAATTTAAAACAAATAAAAGTAAAAAGCAAAGCTTCCCTTTTAACCAGTAAGCTCCCGCCAAGAAGGTCTCAAGCTTTTGTTTTAATAAAAGTGAGCCACTGATGCCAGAACACCCAGCAAGGAGGGTTTTATTCCTACTTCAAGTACATGGCTTCCAAGATTGGCTAATTGTTATAATTCCAAACACTTCTGCACAGTGTTTCTTAGGTCTTATAGTTGCTGTTATGTAATTAAACATTCCTGTCATGTTTAACACTTGTTTCCTGAAATGAACACTGAAAAAATGCCATTTCTCATGGAGACACATGAGATTTCTAATCCTCTACAGGGTTACAGAAATTTAGAAAATTTCTAACCTTTATAGCTGACAAATTTTGTGTTCATTTTACTGAAATTATCACTTCCTCTTCTTTCTTAACTCCTGGTACTAACTTTTCTGCCATCGACGTTTATTCTTATTATATGCAGTTTACAGCCAAGTAAGAACTAGAAAAGGTAGCAGAGACTTGAGATCCTCTCCTCACATTAAGGCTTCTGACTCTCGGAATGTCCTTCTTTAAATCAAAACAGCTAATTAACTTCCTTGGGACATGCTGTTTCCATTCCCCCGGGAAGGTGAAGATCAGACAACTGTCTTAAAGAGACTTTTAACTAGACTATGCTTTTCAAGGCGAGAAGTGATTCTGTCTCTACCACCATGAAAATAAGGAACAAAGAAGAGCTGAGCAAGGAGGGAGGATAGAGAAACTGGATGATTGTGTGCATTTTCTAAGTTTAGGATGATTTAGTTGTGTTTCAGATATTGTAAATTCTCATAGTACTCATAGCAGACATCTGGTTGTACTTTCCAAAGCTCAGTAGAAATGATCTTTGCAATATCTACTGTTCTGAATTATTTGTCCCATATCAAAGCTTGAGCAGAATTTTAGTGGGCTTTTTTTTCAGTCTTCCCACTACCAGTGTATATCCTACATGTCATGATTTACATGTCAATGTATATCCCCAGTCATGATTTTATGGATTGGCCATTGTAACATTTGGGTGCATTTTTTTGGAGGAGTGCACATAACCTTTTGGATGATGTCGCATTTCTTCAGAGAGAATGTTAACTGATGTTGCTGTGCCCTCTGCATGGGGGTCAGCTGTATTTGGTAACTGAAAATGGAATTGCAAAATGTGTCCATCTTATCACTACTCTCTTCATTCGTGTTGGGTGGGAAGACCTGCCAGTCCTAGAAAAATCTCTGCTGCTGATTAGGAAAATATTGTTTTAGTGTTTAATAATTCACTGTTTGTGCAATCAAAGACATTATTTTCAGATACTAAAGTAGTTGTCTTAAACTTCTCTATTTGGAATGACTAATATTTATAAATACTTTTTAGAACTAATGCTGCATATTTAAATTATACGTAATTTTTTCTTAGAAGAAAACTGTTTCTTTTCTTTCCCTCAGAATGTTTCATGACATCTCTGTTAATTTGTGAGTAATCAGACATGCAAATACCTCTTCAGGAATCAAGCTAAACTTAAAGCAGACTTACTTAGAAACTTTGCAGAGTGTATCATGGAGTGCAAGATTGAGGGAAAAGAAAAATACCAACATAGCTTGAATTTACTCAATAAAATTAAGAACATGAAAGAATTAGAAGAAATGATTGATGTGGTACTCATAGCAGAAGAGGAGAAATTTCCTTGCCACAGATTGGTCCTGGCTGCATTTAGTCCTTATTTCAAAGCTATGTTCACCTGTGGACTACTTGAGTGTACTCAAAGGGAAGTCATACTCTATGACATCACAGCAGAAAGTGTGTCTGTGTTACTAAATTACATGTACAGTGCAGCTTTGGAGATCAATAATGCCAATGTACAGATGGTAGCAATGGCTGCCTATTTTATGCAGATGGAAGAAGTCTTTAATGTGTGTCAGAAATATATGATGGGCCACATGGATGCCTCCAACTGTGTAGGTATCTATTATTTTGCAAAGCAGATTGGAGCTGAAGATTTATCCGACCAATCGAAGAAATATTTGTATCAGCACTTTGCCGAGGTGAGCTTACATGAAGAAATACTAGAAATTGATGTGCACCAATTTCTAACACTCATTAAATCAGATGATCTTAACATATCCAGAGAGGAGAGCATTTTGGACTTAGTTCTGAGATGGGTAAATCATAACCAAGAATTGCGCACAGAACATCTTGTTGAGCTTTTGAAGCAAGTCAGATTGGAACTTATAAATCCTTCTTTTTTAAGACAAGCCCTAAAAAGGAACACAATGCTTCTGTGTGATGCACATTGCATTGACATAATTCAGAATGCATTCAAAGCCATCAAGACACCCCAGCGGCACTCTCTAAATCTTCGCTATGGCATGGAGACTACCAGTCTTCTGCTTTGCATTGGCAACAATTCCTCAGGGATCAGATCAAGACGCAGAAACTATGGGGATGCCAGTTTTTGTTATGATCCCACATCACGGAAGACCTATTTCATCTCATCCCCCAAGTACGGGGAAGGTTTAGGAACCGTGTGTACTGGTGTTGTCATGGAAAATAACACTATAATTGTGGCTGGAGAAGCAAGTGCCTCTAAACTCTCTAGACAAAAGAACAAGAATGTTGAAATCTATAGGTCTGTATCTAGCAGCATATTTAATTATCTTGCTTTGATGTTAGCAACAGTAGAAGTAAGTACTGCTGAAAGAATGGTCAGATTTTAAATTACATGTAGTCAACATTACCCTGCAAGTCTCCCATAAAGAAGAATATGCAGAACATATAAAACCCTAAATATAAATGTAGCATGTATATAACATTTATAATGAAATCACTCACATTTTAAAATTATTTTTTCTCTTTTAATTGTTAAGAACATACATTTGAATTTGCATAAGTTAAATGTATTTATTTTATTATCCCATTGTATTTTTCACTTTTAGCTTGCATTTATTTATCCATGTGGTAGGGCATAATACAATTTTTTATGTGTTTCACATGTTTACATATTTTTTGCATAATACATGTTTTTAAAGACCTTGACATAACTTCTAACAAGGAGAAAAGTTATTAACACAGATGCCTTTGAACTGATTTTTTAGTTCATAATTCAGAGTAATAATTCTTTGCTTAACCAAAAATTACTAATTATCTGTCAGTTTTCATCCTGTGTCAATTTGTGGATTTTTTGTAAACCTCCAATATTGTAAAATGTTTGTAGCCTAAGACTGCTTCAACCCTAGAATTGTAGTAAGAGGAACAAGTATGCCTGCTAAGAAGTAGCATATCATCTAGGTCTTGTTTGTGAGAACATATCAGTTTTCATCCTGTGTCAATTTGTGGATTTTTTGTAAACCTCCAATATTGTAAAATGTTTATGTAAAATTGTAATAGCCTAAGACTGCTTCAACCCTAGAATTGTAGTAAGAGGAACAAGTATGCCTGCTAAGAAGTAGCATATCATCTAGGTCTTGTTTGTGAGAACATGGACATTTATTTACTGTTTATTCAGTAACTATCCAGTGAGTATTTAGTGCTTAAATCTAAGTAAATAAGAAATATGCACATAGAATAAATAGGAGGTACTTCCCCATCCGTCCCCTCTCAGTTCCCTCTTATCAGAGTTTAAGACTTTTCAGTGAGAAAGTCATTGTTCTTGACAGTGAAGATGGGGCAAAGAAAGAATTAAGAGCCTGCTATTTTTCTGTCATCTCTTAGCATTACATTATCTTTTTCAAGCTTTAGGCCTGTCCCCTTTCACATCTGTACTTTGAAGACGTGTCTCATTTCCCCTAGTAGTGATGGGGAGGGAATGCAGAGCCCTGGATGGGCGGCCTGGACCTGTGCCCATGATGGCCAACCAAGTCACTGAGCCGCAGGAGCAGCCTCATTCAGATTACCAGGTGTAGACTGCAGAGCCAGGACGGCGAGCCCTGCCAGGAAGAGAAAGCTTTTCTGGCGAGTTCTAGGTCCATGCCTCTCGTTTTGTACTTGCTCTTGGTGAGGTGCCCTTCTTCCCATCTCAGAGCCTCTTGACCAGGAATCTCAGGGTTTTTTTGAAAGTTCTTTTTCTTCCTCATCAGAATGGTGCACAATTCTGCCATCAAAATGTATTTTTATTTATTTATTTATTTTTTCCTTTTTGTCTTTTTTCATGACCGGTAACGGGATCGCAACCCTCAGTGTCGCGCCTGTACCGCGACCGGCAACGGGATCACAACCCTCGGTGTCACGCCCGCACCACGCTCAACCAGTGAGCGGACCAGTCTCTATATGGGATCCGAACCCTCGGTGGGAGCGCCGCCGCACTCTACCGAGTGCGCCACCGGGCCGGCCCAAAATGTATTTTTAATAAACATCCACCCCTGTCAAAGTGTCCTTCTGATTTGGATCCTCAAACATCTTCTCTCTCAACTCTTTCTGAAAGCCCACGTCCCCTTCTTACAGCATTTTTTTTTTTTTGTCTTTTTCCGTGTCCGGCAACGGATCGCAACCCTCAGTGTCGCCCCCGTACTGGGACCGGCAACGGGATCGCAACCCTCAGTGTTGCTCCCGCGCCTCGCTCAGCCAGTGAGCGGGAACCGGTCTGTATGTGGGATCCGAACCCTTGGGCGGGAGCGCCGCCGCGCTTCCCAAGCGGCGCGCTATCCAGTGCGCCACCGGGCCGGCCCCCCTTACAGCATTTTTGACTATATACCTCACATTTCCCTTCTGATCTATCTTGAACTCAACCAGGTTCCCATCACCAATCAGCTGTCCCACATTGGTCAGAACTAGGGTAAAAGTTATCAGTTACCTCATCATTTCTTCCAGTAGTGAAATTGTCAGCAAGGTAAATAACGAAATTATCGGAAGCATTGCTTTGGGCTTAAATGAAACTTCCGGTGATGTCAGGATAGTCTCCTAGCACTACTGAAGGTCACTTTAGTGCCAGTTTTGTGATGTGTGTGAGAAACATATCATCCTGTGGTACTTTCCTCTATATTATTTCTGCATCTTATCCCTTTTATCTTTGTCCAGATGTTTTCAGTTTGTCTCTACTGTGTATTCATAGATTTCCATGCAGATATATTTCTTCTTGACAGAAAAGAGGAAGTAGATTAGTATGCTGGTAGGTCGTTCCTTTCACAAAGCTGTGCTTTTCAATCTCCTTTACTTATCTCCCCTACTTTGTCATACAAACAGCTGAGGATATAAGTGTTGTCTTTAAACTATTGACCTCTGTTGATATTTAATTTGCTTTTGTCACTGCTGTTTTCTTTTTTATGTCATATCCACTTTTCTTAATAATACGCTTTATAGTTTTATCTGGGAATTTTCTCTCCCCATTTTCAGTTCTAAATGGTAAATAAAAATCAGTTTAGCAAGTCACCCAGCAAACAGGTACTTGTACTGCCTAACCTTCATGGGTTTCATTTCTAGTGTGTTTTCTCAAACTGTGTCTCAGAAAACCAAAACCCATTTTTTAGCTCTATGTGTCTATTCATTCTGTTGGCTTTGCTTCAGTAGCCCCACATACAGACACCTAATCCTCCTTTCTCTTCTAAAATCCATACAATTAAAAATAGCTCAAACTGTGTCTCAGAAAACCAAAACCCATTTTTTAGCTCTATGTGTCTATTCATTCTGTTAGCTTTACTTCAGTAGCCCCACATACAGACACCTAATCCTCCTTTCTCTTCTAAAATCCATACAATTAAAAATAGTGTTGAAAATGTCACCTGTGATTCTAGGGACCTTCTGCCATAAGATTTGATAAATTTCTGCATTCAGTTGTGACAAGCTAGACATGCCCTCTAGGAAAGGAACATACCTTCCAACTTCCCTGTCATGCCTGAAATAAGTTATCTCTGGGGAGGAAAGTAGGTATTGGCCAGAACAACTGGGAAAAACTCCTATAATATAATTAATTGTCAAATGTTTGATGCATAATAAGTGCTATACTTAAAAGTTGTACTCTGTGCAAAACATGTATCATAGTTTCTTCATCTTTCTCTAAACAAAATAACTATTTTTAAAAATTTTCCATGTCTTCCTGGTTTTTGTGTTTTGTTTTTAGTTCTGAATTCCAGGTATACTTTCTGGATTTTCTGGAACATTTAATTTCACATAGTTTGTCCCACTGTCCCCACAAGTACTTTTATCCTTCTCAGACTGTGTATCCCACATCATGATTGGAGAAGACAGACTCACCATTACCATGAGGCAAGAGAGAGGATAGCCACAACTCATATATTTAGTGGTTCTATAATGCACCCCATACACCACACATACACTGATAATCAGTTTATGTGTTGGACTCTAGAAGGCATTGAGAAACCATATATCCTAGTGTCCCTATCTCCCAAGACTCTTCTCAGATCAATATAACTATTCTTGGAAGAAATTACTGAAATTACCATATCTAGTAGATTAATGTAGATGTTAGATTTCTTTATTATTAAAGTGATATTTTTTGTCCACAGAATAAGATGTTTTTGCATTTTGTGCAATTTTACCATAAACAAGTAAAATTAAATTTTCCTTTTTTAATGTTTTGTTTAATTTTACCTGTTTATGGTAAAATTACACATGATTTTCTGAAAGACTTCCCTGTTTGTTCTTGATTTTCTTTTTCAGAATTAGGAAACAAAGGCTAGTCCTGTGTATATACTTTTTACATACATCATTTTTCCTAAAATTCTTCAGGTAGGCGTGGTTAACCATTTTTAAGCACATTCTGTTTTGTACATCAGTCCTTTAAGAAAAAAATCTATACCTCTGTCTTGTATTAATGTTTTCCCCCTCCAATTAGAAAAAACAGATCTAATTGTTTTTAGTTGGAAAATAAACTTAAGTGTATTTCTTGGGTAAGTTGTTTTCACATTAACTCTAATTCTGGGTTCTCTCTGTGTTAATTTACAGGTATCATGATAGAGGAAACCAGTTTTGGGAAAAGTTATGCACAACTGAATTTCGAGAGCTCTATGCTCTGGGCAGTGTCCATAATGACCTCTATGTTGTAGGAGGACAGATGAAAATTAAAAACCAGTATCTTATTACAAACTGTGTTGACAAGTACTCTGTAGAACATGACAATTGGAAGAGAGTGGCTCCCCTTCCACTACAATTGGCGTGCCACGCGGTAGTGACAGTGAACAATAAACTCTATGTGATTGGAGGCTGGACCCCTCAGGTTAAGAAGTTTCCAGTATACCTAATTAGCATGGCTATGCTGAGTCTGGCTGCTGTGTTGAAAAATGCTGCAGTTGTCGAATACTAAAAGAGATTGACTTGCATTTTGGTGAAATGCTTTCTGTTTTGTAGAATATAAACTTAAGGTTTTAAAGTGTTCAAGCAACTTAGGATGAATTCTAAGGTGTGTTACTCATAGACATGACTTCATTCAGTGTTCTTGCTGTGTTCTCCATAATCCTTCCCATTCTTGCTAAATATGAAGATGGCTTGTGCTGAGGGATTATCTGTAGGAAGCATCTAAGTAGTAGACAGAGAAGCTGGATACTTACCACAGTTTGTCTGTTTTAATAGCTCTGTGACTTGGGGCAAGTAATTTGTAGGTCTTTTCCATATTTAAAATTCTGACTGTAAGTGGGAAACCAGAATACTAATTCTGTGTGAGCACAATCATTTCTACAGAAGTATGTTGTAATTGGAAACACTGTGTTCTTGCTGGGCATCAGCAGATAGAGAAACCATAATAGTGTTTACATCGAAGCCCAGTGAAGTGATGGCAAGCCAAAACTGAAAGGTCAGAGTGACCACAGCAGTCCTTTCCCTTTCTTTGGGTGTCATCTCCTGGTGCCTTAGAGCACTCACAGTGGTGTCACTCAAGCCACCTTCTGCCCTGGCCATTCAGTCTTCCATTCAGTAAATTTAATTTTCCTGTATTATTTCTTGTTCCTCCATATTTGCTTCATGATAAGACTGATACTTTTAGCATTCATTTCATAACCTTGGATTTTGCCATTTATAGTATATCGTGCCTGTGGTAAAAACTTAAACTTCACATTTAACTCACTTTTTATTTGTGCTGTATATAAAAAAGTAGAACAGATTTCATCACAGCTAGTAGCTGAAAGCTGACAAATTATTTGCAATTAAATTTTTTCAAGACTATCCATTTACATAGTTAATTTTGCATGAATAAGCTCCAAAGACAACTTAGAAGCTTTGCTTTACTTTTCTTTCACTTGAGATTGAACACTTAAATTAGAAGGAAAATTAAAACTGTAAAGTCCATATTTGTTCATTTATTAAGTCTTTGAACAGATAACACATGAACATTTATCTCATAATAAAGGCTTTCGCTAATCTGATTGAGTACCTGACATTAATTTACAAGATAGTATGGAATTGTGAGTGCACCATAGTGATCATAATTCTTGGTGTATTTAAAGTAGTTAAATAAGATTAATTACATACAACTTTCATAAGTACGGCAATTATTTTTTTGTTGAAACTTGCATCCAAAAATAAAAAAGACAGTTATGAACCCTTAGCTTGAAGTCACATAACGTTCCAGATACATTGTATACGAAAAGCGTTAATTCATCTGAAGTTTATGAGTAGGAGAAGCCCCTCACATCTGTGTAAGGATAAATCTACTCAGTTTGCACTCTCTCTTGTCATTAAAAAATATATAAATAAATAAGCATGTAAAAATAACGGCAAATTATTTATATTCATTCATGTGTCTTAAAAATTAAGTTCAGAACATTCCTGTATAGGTCATAATTATGGTGCAAAAATACTCTAATTACTAAAACACTAAAATGTTTCTGCAACTTTGTTCCATATGGATTAGAAAAATATGAAGAAAAATGACAAATTATTATCATTAGTTTCTCACAAACATTATTAAAATCTACAACTATAGAGTTTGGTAAAAGAATTACACTTTACTATTCAAGAGAGCTTGGTTTCATTTTTAAAGCTTCGCAGTTGCTTTGCTCTTCTTAAAAAATCCGTAGTGTCTCACTGCTAAGATCACAGATCATTTGCTATAACCCAACACCTTAGCCCTATTATTACTGAATATAAATTCCTCTGATACTGACAGTGTATTTATAACTTCAACTCACGGGATTTAGTGTGTTTGTGAGTTTGAGATTCTACAGTTAACCTCTTTTTATCCCCTTGGCTGTCTGCTTTGATTAATTACATTCACATACTCATAAAGATCTCTAAATGGTATGTTATTATATTGACTGTCATATTTCATACAGATGGATCTTCCTGATGAAGAACCTGATCGATTGAGCAACAAACTGTTGCAGTATGACCCCAGCCAAGATCAATGGAGAGCGCAAGCACCCATGAAGTATTCTAAGTACCGATTCAGTACAGCTGTAGTCAACAGTGAGATTTATGTTTTGGGTAAGAAGCAGCAGATTGCTTACAGAGTATAACTACTTTTATTTTTCTTAGCAGTTTGCCTCAGTAAAAATGAAATATTCTCCCTTCCCCTTGCATCACAGTTCAAATGTATACATAACTAGCGAACAATTTTGTTTTATTTCTTGTTTTTAGAATACAGTCAAATAAGATTAAATGGAAGTGCACTGACTTACTGAGAGCAAAATTATTTTTATGGCATTTTCAAGCGCTTTGTAATGCAAAAACTGTAGCGATACATCCTTTTATAAATTACCAAGTAATGTACTTTGAAATGGGAATAAGCCTTTGGCCACTTTTAATCAACTCCAGTCGATTTGGCCAACCAACTATGGTTATCTGTGCTATTTAGACAAGGAATTCACCATAGGAAAGACTGTGTCACAGATTATGCCAACCCTCTTCATTTTGCCTAACCCACCAAATGTCGATAGAGGTATTATCAAATAATTTTCATCTGAATGCATTTTTTCCTTATCTCTTGAATATGTATGGTCTTATACAAACCAGCAGGGATTGGTGAAAGACTTCAGTTCAATTCCACTAAAGTGGATAAAAACAATTCCAGAACATCCCCTATATTTCCCCTATTCTTCCTCATTCCTTGTTGGTTTTTTTTTTTTTTTTTTCTGTTTTATTGAGTCCTTTGCTCTTCTAAGTACATCCCATCTCCCTAACATCATCCTTTCATCTCCCCCCACCTCTCCTAAGTATGGGAAAGAAAGACTGAGATAAGGAGGCCGACCAAACTGGTAAAAGGATGACTACATCAATTCTTTATTTCCTCCCAGCTGCATTGATGCTAACTGGCAAAAAACGTAGGGAAGATGATGGGTAGCAAAAAAAACGGCAAGGAAAAAACAAGAAATATGCATTTGAATACAAATGATTTTTTTAAATAAAAGGAGGCTATTATCTTTTGGCTGTTTGCACAGCATGGAGTAAAGTAGTGCACTCAAGTCTTAATAGTTGTTTTATGGTTTTAAGAACAAGAATATTATGCAACGTAGTTTATGAGACTCAGTTATGAGACTCACTTATAATTATAGTCGAGTTTTTTTCTGGTTATCTATTTCGTACTTTGTTATAATCATACGCTATGTTACAGGCCCAGAAGAGACAATACCTAAGCTGTGACAGATTGCCTAGGATAGATATATAAATCTAGGGAGTGAAGGGCCAATATAGTACACATATTAAAATTAGAGGCACCCAAAAGTGGGATAAAAGTGATGTATCAGTTGAAATAGAATGAGATATCACCTTAATATGGAGCCACAACTAAGCTAGATATGGAATAAAAATGATAACTTTTTTTTGGTAAATTATATGGGGAAAGGCACCTTAGAGACATTCTTGGGAACTTACACTTCATGGCATGGACAAATGTCCACTGAATGAATGAAAGGATGTAGATGTTAAAGGATCTGTAAGATTTGAGTTGGTGAAATAGAGAAGAGAGTATGCTCCAGGTGAGGGCGGAGGGGGGAGGGGCAGGGAAGAACAAGAGAGGAGAATGGCATGAATAGTGGTTTGGAGGTGAGAATGGAGATGTTGAGGGTAGAGGATAAAAGGAGAGTGAATAATGAGCCCACCAGGGACAGGGAGTTGTGAGAATCAGAATTGTAATGTGGTCTCCAGATTATACAGGCCCGTGGATGAAGAATTAAGAACATAATAGTGGGGCTGGCCCCGCAGCTCACTCGGGAGAGTGTGGCGCTGGTAGCACCGAGACTGCAGGTTCATCTCCAGATTATACAGGCCCGTGGATGAAGAATTAAGAACATAATAGTGGGGCTGGCCCCGCGGCTCACTCGGGAGAGTGTGGCGCTGGTAGCACCGAGACTGCAGGTTCAGATCCTATATAGGGATGGCCAGTGCGCTCACTGGCTGAGCATGGTGCGGATGACACCGAGCCAAGGGTTGCAATCCCCTTACTGGTCAACAAAAAAAAAAAGAAAGAAAGAAGGAAAAATTGCTAAAAATAAAAAGAACATAATAGTGAACAGTGAGAAACCACACAGAAGCAACATCATTAAAATATATTTTAGGATGACTGGTGAGCTGTGGATACACAGAACAGATTAAAGGCTTTTGCAGTAGCTGAGAATCTAGTTTCTGGATATTCAGAACTGGGGACCAGATTCATAGTCACCCCAATAAGTTTTACCACCTTGTAAGACTCACCCCAAAAGGGTCAACTTCCCCAACATTCACTACTTAATTCCAGAATATATTTTTAAGCTTTGGAATGGAAATGAAGTTCAGTCATTTAGGTATTTTTGTGGTAGTCTTAGTTCAGATATAATTGTTCACTGTATATATAATTGAAATTTGTGCAAATATCATATAGAACGCTAAAACCTTATCAGTTTTAATGATTCACACAGGTACCTTACAGTCATTTATTAATTGTCTTAGCAAAAGCCCTTTCTACTTTTGAGAATCTATATGTATACCACTGTGTTTAGGGTCACTGCCAATAAGCCCTCTCTCTAATACCTGTAAGGATTTAATTTCTTACTGTCTCCTACATAGTCTACAGGATATCCCCCAAAGAGCAGCCACTGAAACCTCCTTCACCAGGTAGGCAGGGTGGTGAAGTAGAGAAGCCACCAGCTTTGGAGTTGAGTAGATTTTGATTGACGTTCTGGCTCCATCACTTGGTACCTGCATGTCTTTGGTCTAGTAAATGTTTTTTTGTTCTTTTTTGTGGCTGATATTAAAATTGGAATGCCCACCTCTTAGAGTTATTAAGATTAAATAAAATAATGTGTGTAATATCCCTACAATATAAATATTCAGATGTTATAACTGCTGTCTGTTGAACCCCTTTATATTATAGATACCCTGCTGAATCTTTTGCATAAACAATTTCACTTAATGATCATAAAAACAAAGTAGTAAGTCTCTTTTGTATGGATGGCTTGATATCCAGACTGATCCTCTACTGAAAATACTTAAAAATGTTCGGTAAAGCATATTTTTTAAAGCTTCCAAGATTTGTCATGCAGTAAGAATTGCTCAGGCCAAACACTAAGTGAAAGCAGGAGACTTGCAACTGTGGAGAAGTGAAAAGGCTGACATCCTCTCCCTAAAGAGCAACTATAAAACCAGATAATTTTGTCCAAAACAGCCGTTTCTAGAAATCAGTCTGAAATAAACAAGTTGAGAAGAGTTTATGTGGAAAAAAATGCTCAGCTTGAAGTCAGACTTCAGGCAGTCTGCAGCATTCTCTCCTGGGGCTGTCCTTATCTCCACCCCTGTGCATCCAAAGTGGTAGTTCTACCAGAGTGGGCTGGCTGTGGAAACTAGCAGCTTTGTTTGCCAGAGGAGACTGACATGATTGGGAATGGAAGGCGGAAAAACTACACTTACAGTGGCAAACGAGAAAAGCCTGCAGCTCTCCGAGCCTGTGGTTTTAGACCTGGTTGGTACAGCAACAGACAAAAGAACTAGCCAGAAATTTAAAATGGAGAACCTGGAAATGAGAGAGTCATAGAGGGACTTGATAAATTCATTACACATCCCTGAGGCCAAGGAAGCTACACAAACATGCAGCCCCAAAGAGGGCCCAAGCTCTCTGCACAACCCTGATTGCAGGTACATGCACGGGAGGCTTAAGAGGGCCCAAGCTCTTCACACATTCCCAGATGACTAGGAGGCTGAACACCTGTCCAGGGAAATCTGAGAGGGCCGGGCAGAAAGTCAAAGCCACAGTAGGCTTGAAAACTACCCGAACTCTGAATGTACTCCCCAACTCATATGCAGATCTACCAAGAGAGGGTGGAAGCCTTAAATAGCTAGTCATTGGCAGCCACCAAGTAATGCAGAAATAAGGGTAATTACTAAGCCAAAAAATAAAAATGAAAAATTTAAGAAGAGAGCAGAGACAGCAGAAATCACAAGAGAGGTGTATTTGATCCAGACAAATTACTTAAAGGCAACAACAAAAAGGCAGCAAAAAATAAAAATAACACAAAATCTCTAAAACCCACAAGGAAAAAAAGAAAATGAAGATCAGAAGTTGCTACAATATATTAACTATAATGTCCAGTTATCAACAAAAAAATTACAACATATGCAAAGGAAAAGAAACCAGAAAGCAATGACATATATCTGGGGTGGTGTGGCAGTGGGGAGGCAGGGAGGAACCTTCAATAAAATCTGTCTCTTGAGTGGGCCTGGATGCTGGATTTATAAGGCAAAGTCTACAAAGTTGCCAACAAATATTCAAGGAATTAATAAGCCATTTTTAAAGAATTAAAGGAAAATATGATGACAGTGACTCCACAATGACATCAATGAAGAGTGGAAATCATCTAAAAGAACCGAATGGGAATCCTAAAGCAGGGAAGTATAATGACTCAGATGGAGATTACACTAAATGGCCTCAGGAGGATTCGAGGTGTCAGAAGAAAGAATGAACTTGAAATAGATCAATAGAAATTATATAATCCGAAAAAGAGAAAAAAAGTGAAGAAAAATTAGCAGAGCCTCAGAAACAGGTGGAATAACATTAATACTACCGTCCCACCAACAAAAATATAATGGTAATCCCAAAAGAAGATGAGCAATAAAGAGAGAAGGGGCAGAAATATTTTTAAAATAATGTTCAAAAACTTCTTAAACTTGATAAGAAAACATTAATCTACAGATCCAAAAAGCTCATCAGACCTCAGATAGGATAAATTCACAGAGACCCTCACCTGAGCATATCATGGAAGCACTATTGAAGACAGAAAATTCTTAAAAGCAGCAAGAAAAAGTGACACATTATGAAGAAGGGAACAGCAGTGTACGATAGATGACTTATCACCAGAAACAGTAAAAGAAAGTGGAATAATATACTCAAAGTGCTGCAAAAAAAAAAAAAAATCTGTCAACCAGGAATTCTATGTTAATTAAAACTGAAAAATGAGGTTGCAACAAAGAAATTCCCAGATAAAGACTGACATAAGTCCTGGCTAGCAGACTTACAA